TGATCGGGCAGGGTGCAGTGAGGGAGAGAGGGTGATCGGGCAGGGTGGGGGTGAAGGTGATAAATGGAGTGAGGCCATTACCTAGGGCAACAACAGAGCAGTTCAACAACTGGCTGGGATGGATCAGATACAGCCCTCACAGGGGGGAGGTATGACCACAATTACCCTCAGGCTAACAGCCGGCCCACACAGGGGGAAGGAGTTTTCCACAACGTCCTGACACAGCCGATCGGAATGTGCTTTCCTCAGGATCTATGAGATTGCTGCTGTTCCTGGAGAAATGCTGCTCCTTGCCGGGCAGGAAATACATCGCAGGGTTATTCCTCGTGCTGGCATTGACTCACAGGTAGCCTGGCCCAGCTCTCTCAGTCTGTGAGTGAGACCCAACACACCCCCACCCCCAACCCCACCCCTGGCTCAGGGGTCTGCCCCAGGGTCAGGGAGGATCACCAAAGGGACAGCAGTGGGATGGTGCTGGCAGCAGCTTTTGACTGGGTACAGGCCTGTCAGTGCTGCATCCAGCTTAGAGGAGAGGGGTTTACCACTGACTGAAGGCTATTCCCAATTCCTGCCCATCGCTGACTCTTTTAACTAAGATAGTCTGATGCTGCTTGGCCTGCTGTGTTCATCCAGCTCTACACCTTGTTATCTCAGAATGTCCAGCATCTGCAGTTCCTACTATCTCTGTTATCAAACTGGTTTTGATTCAGGGAATCCTCCCACACTTCAACACTGCCCTGATGTCTGAGAGGGAAGGCACACATTGTCATACAATCTCACCCCTGGCCTTCCTTAGACAGTGGCACTGAGGCCTAACACCTCACTGGTCACCTACTCCCTCCTGACAGCCCGGGTTTGGGGTCTCACTCCCATCTGTAGATCAAGCTCTCCATTTGAAGGACAGATACAAAATACTGCAGATACTGGAAATCTGAAATAAAGACGGAAAATGTTGGGAGAAACTCAGCAGGTCTGGCATTTTCTGTGTAGACAGAAACGGAGTCAATAGTATGACACTTCTTCAGAATTGAGTTTCCACACAGAGGTGGAATATTAACCCTGTTTCTTCCAACAACAGGAGAGGATAAGGGGGATAGATACAAAACACTTTGTCTTTGCTTGGCACAGTGAGTGGAACTGACATCCTGAGCTCAAGGTTGAGGGTTCAAGTCCCACTTTCAAGCAAACCCATTCCCCAGATTTGAGTAATTGTAATTGAGAGGACTGCACTTGTGGAGGAGTTGTCTTTCAGAGAGTAACATAAACCAAGGCTCAATCTGCCCTTTCAGGTCGATGTGAAAGATCCTTAATATTATTCTGAAGAGAAGCAAGAAGGGGCATTGTACCCCAGCTGTGGGCCAATATTTATCCTTCAGTCAGCAACACAGGAAACCACTAGTTTGTCACCTTGCAGCCTGCGGGAGATTACTGTGTGTAAATTAGCCACCGTGAATCTTACATTGTTAACAGTGACAACACGTTCGGTGGTTGGAATAAGCCTTGGAAGCCCCTGAAGGTAACAGACAACATGTCCTCCGTCTTTCTGTAAGTCAGATAGAGAAAGGTGGAGAGACCTACCCAAAGCCTGCTGCCTGACAGGGTTTGTCATGTTGCGGACACACAGAGGGAGATTGCTGACGTCTCGTTGGAGATGGCGAGGGACTTCCCCAATAAGCTGCGCAGGATATGGATGCCGGTCAATCACTGCAATATTCCCGGGAAGAGTCGCTCTGGGTGTACGCACTATTGTCTGTCTCGGGATATGGGACAGTGACCTGTGGGATGGAGGAGAGAAGGTGAAGCTGGATTGACAGGATAAAGAGCATGGTTCTTTCAGAAAAAGCCTGACATTCATAGAATCCCTACGGTGTGGAAACAGGCCATTTGGCCCAACAAGTCCACACTGACCCTCCGAACAGCATCCCACCCAGACCCATTCCCCTACCCCTGCATTTTCCATGTCTAACGCACCTAACATAAACATCCCTGAACACTATGGGGCAATTTAGCATGGCCAATCTACCCTAACCTGCACATCTTTGGACTGTGGGAGGAAACTGGAGCACCCAGAGGAAACCCACGCAGACATGGGGAGAATGTGCAAACTCCACACAGACAGTCGCCCGAGGGTGGGATTGAACCCGGGTCCCTGGCGCCGTGAGACAGCAGTACTAGCCACTGAGTCACCGAGAAGCACAGGTTCATCAGTGAGTTGCCTGGAGGGGGCGAGGACATTAATGGCATGCAATCTGGAGAGGGCACATTCCACAAACTATAACTTACTAACACTTTAAAAGAAATGAGAGGTTTGCTCCATGGTCTACACTAATGACAACAGCATGTGTAAGGGGGCATTAAGCCCAACAGAGAAAGTGAAATATTCTCACACAACAGCCAATCAAAGCACAGATAGCAGCGGCAACACTATACTCTGAGGTTA